CCATAATTTTAATTATGATATTTAACTATATTATCCTATTTACTCATTTTTAATAAATAGTATATAATAAGAAATATATTTTTTTTACAACTTCATTGATTTTTTTATGTATATAGATATTTCTAATGTAAAACTTATAATTATTAATTTCACTCGACCATCAAATAATAATTTTACTAATTTCAAGGAGATATATTTTTTAATGGTAATGTTGACTATATTTTAGCAAATTTTGTTATTACTGTAAACTATTCATTAAGTTAATATGATTCAAACACATTTATTATGATTACTTGTTAGATATTTTAGGTGCTTTTGAACGGTTAACATAATTAATAAAATTAATATCTACAACCACAATATGATAATATAATTAATAAAATCAATATTTCATAATTTGAATAGTTTTTTCTAATTGTGTCAAAAAATTACTATGAAAATTAATATTAGGATCTTATTAAAAATATATAAATGTACTCAATCAATTCTATTTAAGTCAATTTATAACTAATGAATATTAGTCAATGAGTAAACAAAAAATAATTAATGTTCATATATAAAATTTGCTAATAGATAAAAGCTGATTATATGCTAAATATAGATGAAAATATTTTCCCGCCTAAAACTATGTCAATTATAGTAATAAAGATTGGTCCATTATATAGATATAGATTAATAAAATTTCTACATTGATTAATAATTTAGTTCATATATATTTATTATGTTTTGTTGGTTCATTATAAAACTGATTTATTGTTCATTCAAAATTGTTTTTTTGTCTCGTTTGTATTTAAAAATTTATGCAAGTAGCTCCTTTATATAAATTTTTTAACTTACAATATATAACTACATTAAATATAAATATATCAATTGAGAAATAATTTTATTTTTCTAATGATCTTAATAATATTATTATTTTTTATTATTATAAAGATGAATATAATTTATTTATTTTATATATACAATATGGATGTCAAATCGAAGATCATCAAAAGATGATTAATTTGATATATTATATATGTAAAACCGATAAGAAATACAAAAGTTATCTACTTTTAAAATACATTTTTAAATCAATAACTTATTGAAGGAAGCAAATCAAAATTTAGGGATATATTAGTCACTTAGTGCCCACTATGTAAAATTACAAAGAATTAAAGGGTTATATTAGTAAAAGTGATATTAAAATACCTAAATTAGCTAAATAATATTTATGGAATACCCGAACCTAGATTATTAATTATTAATATATTAATATTATTTGTCCAAACCTAATTACGAAGCATGATTCTTCGTCAAATAGAATTCCGAAGCACCAGAAGCAGTCACGTAGGCTCAGCGCATTCGCGAATTATATATAGGGAGGATTATCGAATGCACTGAGCTTAAGTGGCATGTTCGTGTGCTTTGTAAGCTTAATTGTAAAAAATTTATGCTTTGTATAGACAAATATATAGGTTTGGTGTAGACTATTAGGCTTGAAAATTACCATAAACTATTTTACCTTTCATGTTTTATTAAGTTACCATATATCATTCTTACATTTTCTTATGTAAACCATATATTAATTATCATAAATTAGTATTCCTTTGCCATTGTGGAAAAATACAATGTTGCCTTTCAAAGAATACAATATTTTTTCAAGAGTGTATATTAATTATCATATACACTCTTTTTTACTGTCCTCGGGTGTTGCCATTATGGAAAAATACAATGCTTTATCCCCTTCTTTCAAAGGCAAAATTTGGCTCTATTTTGGATTTTTGTATATGGATGCAACTAAATTTGTCTACTCACGAGTTTGAAGTTTTTGCATTATCAACTTGGTTATTTTGGAAAGAAAGACAAAGAGTGATCCATGGTACTAATCTCAATGAAGATCTCAAGTTAAGTAGAGTTGAAAGCATTGCACGGAATTTTCGAATTTCATCAGGCATCTTTCCAAATAATCAATGTCCAGAAGATGGTCAAAGAAATGCCAAATGGAGCCCTCCCCCCTCAAATTCAATTCGCCTTGATGTGGATGCAAATGTCAATATGAAAGATGGTAGGTTCGGTATAGGAGGAATCACTCGCGATGATCAAAGTAGAGCTCTTTTTGCCTTTGGAATGCCATTCAGTAATCCAGGTTCGGTTATCCACTGTGAGCTTTTCGCAATCAAAGAAGGTTTGGATAAATGCCGCTTTATGGACCAAGTCCCTCTCTTGATTTATACGAACTCTTTGTTGGCGGTACAAGCAGTTACCGACTTCAACGAGATACGTGGCTATATCCGATCGTGGTCTATTGATATTGATGCTCTTATCGCTCAAGCGGCAGCTACTAGAAGTCTCCATCATATGCGTCGATCGGCCAATAATGTTGCTCATTCTCTTGCAAAACTTGCTTCTTTTCCAAACTCTCATTTCTTTTGGGAAGTGGATGTTTTCCCGTCTTGGCTTAAGGAACTTATCTGTACTGACTTAGTTTAATTTTGATTTATTAATGATAAGTTTATTTTCCAGTCAAAAATAAATTAGTATTCCTTTTTATATTTAAAACAATATAACTTCTTTATTAATATATTTATTTTTTATTTATGATATATTAAAATAATCATAGTTTAACGGTTTTTAATTTGACATTAATACTGCATATATAAAATATAAAATTATTTCATCTATCATTATAAAAAAACCATAAAATAATTATTTAATGTGTTTTTTCCACAGATTTTAGACAAAATATGGAAAATAAGTGTTACATAAATTAAATTATAAGAAATATTATAAAATATTTTTTTTTTGATTTAAATATATTATATAAGGAACTAAATGTTATTATGTTTTTTAAAATAATAAATATAACGAATATCATATTAAATATAATGAAATATTTTTATGTCTCATAAATTTATAAAATATTACATTTATGCGTAATTAATATTCAAAATTATTAAACTATATAAATTTAAAAAAATTGAAAGTTTAATAAACGAGAGACACCGGCTCTATAAATATAAAATATTGTCATAATACAATATTAAACTTGTTTTACTTTAAAAATATTCGAATGAAATATATGAGTTGTAAATAATATATGTTTTAGACATATATAATTTTACAAATATAAGTAAAAAATATCGTTTTTGACAAATTTGTGTAAAAATGTGGGCTCCATCACTTTGTTAGTTTTTTATTATTGTTGCATATTCATTATATTTAATTTTACAATAAAAATATAATTTTTTTTTTTAACAAATATCTGGTCGTCTTGCGAGTTATTAGACCGATCGATATTTCAATTAATTTTATATTTATTTTTAGACAAAAATTTGGTCGTTTTGCGAGTTCTTGATGAATACACCCAATCTTATAAACATATACAAATGTATCGACTTATTCACATTTTATTCATTTTTTTTAATGACTAAGACAATTTAATAAACCGACAAAGTCGACTAAAGATTAACAGGGATAAAATCAAGTGGTAAGTAGCTTGATGTCACTTAAGCAAAGTCTCGAGTTCGAATCTTTGTGGATGCAGAAAACCCTTATTGGGAGACTCACCACCACTGTCAAGTGTGCGACCCTGGTCGGCCAACGAATTAGTCGGTGCATAACTCCGAATACCGTGACTGGCTAAAAAAAAAAAAGTCAACTAAAGTAACCGGCTGTTATTTACAAATTTAAATATATCAATCCCTTTCATCTGTGCAAATTAAAAAAGTCCATAGTCAAAGAGACGTGAAGCTCGCCAGTCGCTCGAGACTGGGCCTTTTGGTCAGAAGCGTGGCCCGACGTTCGGCCCGTAAGTTTAATTTGGGCCTTGAAACCAGACATTTTTTTCCTTTTTTATTTTATCGGCTGCTTTTATTTATTATTTTTTTTTTTTTAAATAAGAAATAGTTTTCACTTTACACATTTTCAACTATCAATTAGATATAATTATAATCATACTCTCGTGGAAAAAGAAAGAAAGTTTTATTATTCCACTAGCTCAAGTAATAATTATTTACCTAAAAAAAAAAGTTATGAACACTCAAAAGCTTAACAATTTATTTAATTCTTATTATTTTCTCATTAATAATAATCAATTACTCATGTACATTAATTTAATAAAATAATATAATTTGTAAGCATAAAAGATAATATTTTGAAAAAAAAATTATCTAGTGGTATGTTTTATAAAATTGTAACCATTGCATTAATGAAAAAGGTGACACCATATACATATTTATATATTTCAAAGCAACAAAAAAATATTAAGAATGACACCGTGTAAAATTAAGCTACATTTTTTTTTTTTTTTGTGGCGGAACTATAAATCTAATAATGTTGGAAAGTGGAAACACTACAAATTAAAAAAAAAAATTAATAAATTAAAATTTTAAGCTTAAAAGTACATAAGTTTGATAACATTATACTAATTTTAGACTAACCCTAAATTCTATTCACTACAACAATACAAAAATAGTTATATACAAACATATATTGTTTTACTAAAAAAAACATAACTAAAAGTCTAAAACATTATAAAATTGAGTGTCTCATTTTATACATTTCATCATAAAAAACATATAATTTTTACGTATAATTTTTCAGACAATCTTAACAAATTAGAGGTATAAACAATTTGAATCGATCTGGAGCTCGAGTTTTAATCCAATAGAGTCAAACTCGACTTGTTACGAAGTGAGTTAATTAACAAGCTAGAATTCGTCTCGTTTATCAATATTTACGAGTCAGAATTTGCAATATTACAAACAAAGGACTCAATCTTTTCACCATCTAAGGCCCAACGACACGAAATGGTAATCAAATAGAAAGCGAAAAAGTGACGGAAAAAAAAGAACAAAGATAATCGGCGTTAGTCTTCATGCCGTCGGCTTTTTTCGCGCTCCTCGAAAAAAGCACTCTTTCTGGTCCCCCGTAGAAAAATAGCTCAACTCATTCTCCATTGTTCACACTTCACTCCGAGGAAAGGAGGAGCTCAGTTCTGCGCGAAAGATTGAATTTTTATGATGGAGTCTCCGAGCCCCCTGCTGCGCCGGTACCGCAGCGATCGCCGGAAGCTCCTCGAGTTCCTGCTGTCGTCGACCCTCGTCAGCGGGATCAAAACTCCGGCGGGGCCCACGGCCTCCTTTTCCGACATCAATTTTGATTCTGTCAGCGCCGATTACCTTCTTGAATGCATTCAATCCGGTATGTTTGTGTCTGTGTAGATTTTCTTGCAGTTCCTATTACTTTAGATCGTCTATCGAAAATGTAAAGGAGCGTAATTTGCAGGAAGCAATAGGCATCGACTAGTTCTACTATTCTAATTAAGTTTTGTATAGCTGAAGTGTGATGATAATTCCATAACTTTGTTTTACTGAGAATATCCGTTGAAGAGCTATGGGGTTGGCTTTGACCTGAACAGACTTTTTTTTTTTTTT